AAAAAAAAAAAAAGAAAAATTAAGAAAGAAAAAAAGGGGGAAAAAAAAACGTATTAATCTAATTGCTCGCTTGAAACAGCTGGACACAGCTTACAAGATGCTGACTTCAAAGCGGCCGTGTGGGCCCAACAGAAGAGCGATTCGTGGAGCTACATACGACTTGGCGAAAAACGAGCCTTGGAAGGAGCCTTTCGAGAGCTTGCCCGAGCATGCTTTTGAGGATATTGCAGACTGGGAAAGAGAACTTATTCAAGATCGTGTACGTGCTCTTCGTGAGTCTTGAGTGAAGGCATTTTTACTCCAAACATTTTATAAAAATCGACTCGGCCTCTAGCTAGTTGGAACTCGGTTGTTCGGTTTGTATAAAAAATGTTGTCTAATTAAGTTAGAATATAGAAAAAAAAAACCAATAACTTATTAAAGGTGTGCAGAAACTAGTTCTTTACACACATTATGACGTAGAGCGTAAGTAAGAAATGGGAAGAACAAGCACAATTGATAGAACAGATCTTTTATTTTTGATCGATAAAACTGTTCTTCTTCTGCGCTGGAAGAGAACTTAATAATAACAAGAGTCCAACATTCCCTAACCTCTAATAAAAGACTAATAATTATTTGAAGTCCCAAAACAATAATAAGGTCAAGTAAAAATAAAAACTAGTAATAAAAGCTAGATACGAAGACGATCGTATTTATTCAAAAACGCTATCGCGGTCTCGTCTCCATCATCCTCCCCTGGTTGGGAAGGATTCGGCCGCGAATCCGAACCGGTCTCGTCTCCCTCTGAGTTATCCCCCGCAAACGGCACCAAATGTTTGACGTTAAAAACGTCGGATGTGCGAATGTGAGAAGGAAGCCGAAGGCGGTAAGCATTGGGGTTTATTTTCTCCACAACCTCCACGGGCCCGATTTTACGTGCCGCCAACTTATTAAACTCATGCGCAGGAAACCTGTCCTTAGTCAACACAGCCCAAACAAAATCACCTACCTCGAACTCCACATGGCGACGTCGAGTATCAGCGGCCCGCTTGTAAGCGGCAGTCGATGCCTCCAACCGAGCCCGAGCCGCAGTATGCGTCTTCAGCAACTCGCCCACGAGGTCCGACGCACGCGGATCAGTCAAGCCCGACGACGGCAACGGCGCCAAGTCGCACGGTCCCCGAGGCTGGACCCCGTACACAATCTGGAAAGGCGAGAAGCCCGTTGCCCGACCAACCGCAGTGTTATGAGCGAACTCAGCTTGACACAAACGTTGGTCCCAACTACGTATATTATCCCCAACCAGGCAACGAAGTAAGTTGCCCAATGATCGATTCACCACCTCAGTCTGACCGTCCGTCTGAGGGTGATAAGCGCTGCTGAAGTCGAGACGGGTGGCGACCATACGCCACAAGCTCCGCCAGAAATAACTCAAAAATCGTGTATCGCGGTCAGAAACAATAGCCAAAGGCAGGCCATGAAGACGGTAAATCTCACGAAAAAATAATTGGGCGACATGGACAGCATCCGTGGTACGCTTGCAAGGAATGAAGTGCACCATCTTCGAAAAGCGATCGACCACGACAAAAATAGAATCAAAGCCTCGCTGTGTACGAGGCAAGCCCAAGACAAAATCCATGCTGATCGACTGCCACGGTCGGGACGGAATCGGCAGAGGCCGGTACAAGCCAGCATTCGTCGCGACCCCCTTCAAAACCTGACAAATCCGACAACGGGCAACAAATTTGCCCACATCACGCCGTAGGGACGGCCAAAAATAGCTGCGACTGACGAGCTCAACAGAGCGATCACGGCCCACGTGCCCTGTCCCGTGCAAGTCAGCAATGAGCTTGTGCCGAAGACTGCAATCCGGGATGCATAAACGAACCCCGCGAAAAAGAAAACCATCGACCAAAGTATAGTCCTCGTACGGCCCGTCACGAAGACGACCCAGAATAGGGCTAAAAAATGGGTCCTCCAAATACACGTCCCGCAGTACCTCAAAACCCACCACCGACACACGCATCTCAGACAAAAGAAGAGAGCGCCTACTCAAAGCATCGGCCACCCTGTTAGAGGCGCCCGAACGATGACGAAGGACGAATGTGAACTGCTGCAGAAAAGCAGTCCAAGAAGCATGGCGCGTGGAAATGTTGTCCTGAGAGTTTAGATGCCGAAGTGCCTCATGGTCGGTGTACAACACGAACTCCCTGTGAAACAGATAATGTCGCCAATGGCGAACCGCACGAACCACAGCATAAAATTCAACATCGTAAGTACTGTACCTCAAACGCGGGCCCGAGAGCTTCTCACTGAAGAAAGAGATCGGACGACCATCTTGGCTCAGGACAGCCCCTATCCCCACCTTCGAGGCGTCGCAAGATAGCTCAAAAGGACGAGAAAAATCCGGTAACACAAGCACCGGGGCCGAAGTGAGTTTGCTCTTGATAAGAGCGAAGGCATCGGCGGCTGCTGCGGTCCAAGTGAAAGACTTCCCTGTGAGGCAGTCAGTGATCGGGGCGATCAATGAGCTAAAATGTGAGATGAACCGACGATAAAACGAGGCGAGTCCGTGAAAGCTGCGAGCCTCAGTAAACGTAGTCGGGGTCGGCCAATCCCGCACTGCCGCCACCTTGCCCTCATCAACACGAATACCCTCGGCCGAAATAAGAAAGCCCAAAAATAAGACAGACTCCACCATGAAAAAACATTTATTCGGAGCAGCAAAGAAAGACTCCGCCCTCAAGATAGACAGAACTGCTCGCACGTGCTCCAAATGGTCCTCCACCGAACGACTATAGATAAGTATATCGTCGAAATAAACGACGACACACTTCCCGAGAAGATCCCTCAAGGTCTGGTTCATGATACGCATAAAAGTGCTCGGTGCGTTGGAAAGACCGAACGGCATCACCATCCACTCGAAAAGCCCCTCCCGAATCTTAAAGGCCGTCTTCCACTCGTCACCCGGACGAATCCGAATCTGATGGTAACCACTACGCAGATCCAACTTGGTGAAGACTGTGGCCCCGTGTAACTGATCGAGCAAATCATCCAAGCGAGGAATGGGGAAACGATACCTCACTGTGATCTTGTTGATAGCCCGACTATCCACACACATACGCCAAGCCCCGTCTTTCTTGGGAATCAACAAGGCCGGAACGGCACACGGGCTAAGGCTACGACGAACAACCCCCCGCTGTAAGAGCTCCTCCACCTGACGGCGAAGCTCCTCGTGTTCCACCGGGCTCATCCTGTAATGTGGCCTGTTAGGAAGAGAGGCCCCCGGTACCAAGTCGATATGATGCTGAATGTCCCGTAACGGAGGCAAGCCAGAAGGAAGGTCGGTAGGAAAAACATCTGCAAACTCGGACAACAATGGTTGTATGATGGCTGGTGGCTCGCGCTCAACGGACCTGTCCGAACCCACAAGTAAAAGGACAAACGGAGCCGAACGCATCTCCTCGACAAAAGCCGCCCTCGATAGAAAAAGAACCGTCGAAGAAGGAGGAGCCGGCACGGGACGAGAAGGAGCGGGATGCAAGACAATCTTAGTACCTCCAAATGTGAAACTGTAAGTATTAAGTCGGCCATCGTGAGACACTGCCCGATCGTACTGCCATGGCCTGCCCAACAAAACGTGACATGCGTCCATAGGAACCACGTCGCACCAGACCTTGTCCCGATAGTTCGCCCCGATGGACAACGAGAGTAGGACCCGGCGATCCACCGTAATAGCGTTGCCCCGCTGAATCCATGCTAATGTGTAAGGCTGTGGATGAGGTTCGCTCGACAGCCGTAATTTGTCGACGGCCTCTTGTGCAACCACGTTCTCACAGGAGCCCGAGTCAATGATAAAGCGACACACCTTGTCACCTACCGTGCACGTGGACTCAAAAATATGATGGCGCTCCTTCGTCTCATCACCAGTCGACCGTGGTGTCAAACACGAGCGACGGATCACGAGGGCCGTCCCAACATCACCCATATGGTGCTCTTCAGGCACTCCCGGCTCCACATCATAAACTGGCGGTCCGTCAAACTCGACGGACATACCCATTTCACCGTCCTCGTCCATGAATAATCCACGAGAGCCCGAGCCACGAGGACAATCCGCCAGACGATGACCCACCTCCCCGCAGCCAAAACAACGCATGCCCGAACTCACGCGCTGCCCCGTCACCGCCGGTGGAACACCCGCGCCCCCTGTCCGCGTCTGGCCGCCGGCTGGTCCCGGAAGACGGCCTGGGACGACCTGCCCTGCCCCGGTACCCAGCGATAGACCCGCCCTACCGGGCTGCAACATCCCACCAGAACCCGGGCCTGTACGCGTGGATGGAGAAAATGCCGAGCCAGCTCTCCGTGCTAATTGTTGTTCTGCAAGCCGGGCTCGTTGGTGCGCGTCCGATAATGAATCTGGCCTAACAAAATTAAGCATATCCTGAATGGCCACACGTAAACCTCCCACATAACGAGCAATCAACTGATTCTTTGTTTCCCGTAACTCGACACGAGTCAAAAGGCTATAGAAGTCATCAGTGTAGTCGTCCACTGAGCGTGACCCCTGCTTCAAGTTGTGAAGTTGTTGATAAATGAGACTGTCATAGTTGAACGGTAAAAACTCACGCTCCACACATTCCCGGAATTTGACCCAGGAAGAAATCGGTGCTTTCCCTTGACGATGCCGCACGCTCGTTAGCTGCATCCACCACGCAGCAGCAAGCCCACGAAACCTCGTGGCCACAAGATCGACACGCCGATCCTCGGGCACGTCCTTGAATCGAAGCACGGCCTCCACTGCTGCCCACCAGTCCAGAAATTCATCACCCTGTACCCCGCCATGAAACTCGGGAATGTCCACTCGAAACCCCATCTCCCAACGCGACGCATCGCCCCCTTCTATCGGACGCATGCCCTCGCGCCGGTTCCTCCAACCCTCGGCCCGTCCATGACGGTCGCCGAACCCACCACCGTGCTGAAACTCGCCGTCAAAGGTTGCTCGATCCCTGTCACGCTGCCCACCTTCGTCCTCGCGGTAGCCCTCGCGACGGGTCTCATCCTCCTCCTCCTCAGACCACGCGCCGTCGCGCTGAAAAGCCCCTCCACCACGGCCCCGCGGTCGATTGCGAACAGGATCGCCGTCACGCCGATTGAAACCTCCGCCCCGAAACCCTACATCATCACGTCGTTCATCACGCGCCGCCCTCCTGCGCAGGTCCTCTCTCCTGCCGCGACCCGGGTCAGCGTCGGCAAACGGGTTGTCGATGGACAGTGTTTCGGTCTCTGACTCGTCATCACCGGACGGCGGAAATGGCGATCGACGACGGGGCGCCCCGCCGTATCCCCGACCCCCACGACCGCCGCGAAACCCTCCGTGTGCGCCCCGGTCAGCCGCTGCACGGTTCGTACGTACCTCGAGCATCAACGTTTGCATCGCCTCGCGTAAGTCTTCGATCCCCGTTGAGATTCCCGTAAACCGTTCGTCCATTCCGTTAAAACGTTCATCCACCTGATGGAAACGTTCGTCTATGGCGTTTTCGAGTCCTCTCTTCGGCGGCATCGTTGATCGTTACTGGTCAGCTGATACCAACTGATGTAGAGCGTAAGTAAGAAATGGGAAGAACAAGCACAATTGATAGAACAGATCTTTTATTTTTGATCGATAAAACTGTTCTTCTTCTGCGCTGGAAGAGAACTTAATAATAACAAGAGTCCAACATTCCCTAACCTCTAATAAAAGACTAATAATTATTTGAAGTCCCAAAACAATAATAAGGTCAAGTAAAAATAAAAACTAGTAATAAAAGCTAGATACGAAGACGATCATATTTATTCAAAAACGCTATCGCGGTCTCGTCTCCATCACATTAGAACCAAATGATATGTCTCATTTATCAATATCTCAGTACAAATTATGCTAATGAATTATTTGATTTTGCTGGCTTAACTAGTTCACATCAATAGAATCAAAAATTATTATTATTACCAATTATCTGCCACATTTATTCTTCAAATTATCCAACTACAGACATCATGGTATCTTCAAAAGATCCTGAATAAAACTACAGACATTAAGGTTTGTTCTTCAAACACTTTTAGGTTAATGTAGTCCAACCAATCTATACAAAGAAGGGGTTAAAACAATTTGTCTTCTTTTTCCTTTTCCATTTTCTCACCTTTTTCTTTTTCTCCTCGACTAAGTAATTCTACAAGAACCGATCGTCATGTTGATTGAGCTAGCTTGTACTTCGCAAGCTGTGTTTGTCTTCGTCCTAAATTGAAAGCCGTTACTATCCATAACAAACACACCTGAGGAAACAAAACAAATTCAAAAAACATTGTTAATTTTTTCTTTCTACTAATCTATAGTTTAGCTCGAAAAAAGAAGCAGCAATATGTCAGAAAAAAAAAAAAA